TGCATAAACTTGGATTACTGTGATGTTCAAAGGTCTGCCTTGGATTTGTATTGAAATCATTCTATCGTTTTTGAGATTGTATCCCAGTACAGCTTTTCCCACTCTTTTGTTGACTATGAGGGTTACTCCATTTCTTCTATGGGATTCTTGGCCACAATAATAGATATGATTTTCCTCTGATTTGAATTTGCCCATTCCCGTCCATTTTGGTTCACTGAAGCCCAGGATGTCATTGTTTATTCTTGCCATCTCCTCTTTGACCACATCCAATTTCCCAAGGTTCATAGATCTTACATTCCAGGTTCCTATGCAGTATTTTTCTTTGCAGCATCGGACTTTCCTTTCACTTCCAGGCACGTCCACAGCTGAGCGTCCGTTCGGCTTTGGCCCAACCACTTCATTAGCTCTGGAGCTACTTGTACTTGTCCTCCGCTCTTCCTCAGTAGCATGTTGGATGCCTTCTGACCTGAGGGTCCCATCTTCCAGTGTCATATCTTTTTAGCCTTTTGTTTCTGATCATGGGGTTTTCTTGGCAAAGATACTGGAGTGGCTTGCCAGTTCCTGCTCCAGGTGGATCGTGTTTAGTCTGAACTCTCCACTATGACCTGTCTGTCTTGGGTGTCCCTGCATGGCATAGCCCATAGCTTCACTGAATTACTCAAGCCCCTTCAGCACGAAAAGGCAGCAATCTGTGAAGGGGTATTTTAATCTGTTTTAAACTGTAGATAAACAGCACACTTTGCTTTGCCTTTTTCTTCTTCTGTTTTATTGCAATTAGAATTTAATTTGCTAACATTTCCTCTGTAGAAAACAAATCCTATAATTTAAAGTAGTGTTTCCAAGTTGTGTGGGACTTATTTCTGAGGAAATACATTTAGGAGTTGTGATCAGAAATGTAAATGTGAGGCACTATGGATTTGTATACTATATTGCCTGCTGCCCCATGTACTTCCCTGCCAAATTATCTCATGTGCCTACTGATAGTTTTACATTTTTTCCTCATCTCTTTGTGTCTTCTAACAACTTGCAGTTACACTGATCTGCAGAAAACTTGGTGACAGTGCAGAAATGCAAAGAAACACTGACTTCTCAATAGGTCAAACAACACGAGGCAACAGAAAATATGACTGGAACAGGAGTTAAATGCTTTTAGAATCTTAGAATTGTGGATGGAGAACACTGTGCTTTTTGTTACCCCTTATGGGCATATTATTGTTTCCTCTTTCCCTTCATTTCCTCAGCCCTTTCCTTCCCTCTTGCCTCCCTAATATATCCCCAGTCTAATCTCCATCACTCCTGGTTAGATAGAGGTGCCACTGAATGACAACATATCCTCCTTCTCTCCACTATGAGGGAAATACTAAATTCCTCAGGAATTGTGGCCCTTTCAAAATGCTAAAGCACCTTGACAAAGAATCTTAAGTTCCTTTGAGACTTCTTGCTTCCATCAAGAAATACACTTTTCTCCTCAAGTTTTCTGTAATTTGTGTAAATTGTCTCTAGTCTCTGTAGAGAAATAATTTAATCAACCATACAAATACAGTGAGTGAGAAAGAGAGGGAGGGGAGGATAAGCACAAAAGAACAGCCTGATTTTAAGAAAGAGAGTAGCAACCCATTTAGTACCTCAAATTCTTAAATAAAGTGGTAGTCGTCCTAATTTTGGACAATTCACGAATTGCACAATTTTACTCAAGAACAGGTAAACATGAGTAAAAATAGGCGTTTTCACACAAAAATGAACAATTCTGTCAAAAACACAATTCTTGCCAATGGGTGAAAGCCATGAAAAGCCCCAGGAAATGTGTTGCCAATTTTCCCAGTAAAGAGAAGGAAGTCTGAATTATTCTCCCTTTCCTACAAGGAGGAGACAGGTGATGATTTACATACTTACTCTTGGCCCTGGAGGCACCAAGGCCAAAGAGTCACTGGCCTTGAAGATAAACCAGCATTCCTTCCAAGGCAGTTCTCCAATTCTGTCAAACCCTATTGTCACAGACCAAAAATGCTGGCATGTGACAGATACTGTAAAATCAGACTACTTTGGTTATTGATAGAGCAGCAATAGTTGGAGAAAGACCTTGGTGCATTACTCTCTTACACATTATTCTCTGGTGTGATACAATGAGCCAGTGTTTTTACACTTTAAAATATCTGAAGAACCTTCAGCTAACAGATGAGTTGAGAGTTCCTACAGGCCTTTTAATTTGTCCCTATCAAATATCCATTTAAACCAGCTGACTCAGCCACGGTATGTCATGCTTCCCTCGTGTACATGTGGAAATGATTGTCTTCATCAAAACAGCAGAAGAAAACATCAGATTATAAATAGAATATGTTAGGCCATCCAGCAACACTGTTGGAAAGGTCTGTGTGCCAATATGCAGCTCTTTGCTTCCAAGTTTAAAGTTCCATCAACAGGTATTAAGAAGCCACCAAATCAGATGCCTGGACAGAGACAGTACCTTTTAGCATTTTGACTGCAACAGTGGTATAGCCAGCTTTCCCTTTCAGCCTGAACGCAGTCGCCTTGACAACTTTCCCAAATTCTCCCTCTCCAAGTGTCTTGCCAAGCACCAGGTTCTTTCGAGGAAATTCCCACTTTGGATCCTCCTGTAGAGGAGAGAGAAGAATGAAATTTTGCTAGAGAAAAATTTAGCAGCATCCAATAGTTCTGTCAAGGAATGAGAGAGACAGAGAGAGATTGAGAGAGATTGAGAGAGAGAGAGAGAGAGAGAGAGAGAGAGAGAGAGAGATTTGTTAGATGTAATGTTAGAGATGGTCATGAATCAGAAAAATTGTGTTTTGTTTGGATTCATGATTCATCAAAGTTGATGAATTATGAATTTTTATGACGAATCAACAAATCAATTTGTCAACTTGTTTTTTTCTTAAAACCATATAACGCCCCCCAGCACCTAGGAGACACCAAAATTACAGGGAAGCTTCCCCTCACTTTCCTCTACAAGCTGTGCAAAATTACGGTAAGTTTCAGACATCCAAGTTATACAAACGCAAAGTGCATCCCCCCAAGAAACTGCCTGTTAGCACCTGGCTTGGGGAAACCCAAAATTCACCAAACTTGGAGGGACTGTAGAGGAGAGTGAGAAGAAGCTTCCCTGCAGTTTTAATGTCTCTAGGTGCCTTGGAGGCCGTTTTACATCCAAACAAATTGACAAATCAACAGTCACTAAAAAAATCAGTGATTTGTATTCGTTGGGGACATTGATTTGTATGAATACTAATTGATGAATTAGAAATTTTTGAATAAATTTGATTTGTTTTTTGAAAATTCACACCCATCTCTAGTAATAATATAATACAATTTCCTTTGCTCCCTACTCTGCCTACTGCATGTCACTCGATATTGTGGGTTATTTTTCTTAGCCAAGTCGAGAAAGAATGGAGGTGTAAAGGCTCAGTACATTGGATTCAAGGGGGAAACAATTAATTACTCTACTACTAGATTTTGTTGTGACACTTGTTTGATGTCAACATTTGTCATGTGCAATCCATGTCTTTGTGTACTCTGACTGTGAACAATTCCTTCTGTCCAAGTCAAGCCCAGCAAAGCCTATCTATGTACTGACTTTACTGATTTGGAGTCTGTAGCTCCTTCAAACAATCTCCTGCTTGTTCATGTGGCTACAGCCTGAAGCCCTTCCTCTGTTTTATTGTCCAAGATGTCAAGGATCTGGAATAACAAAAATGCTTTTTGCCAGAACAATAAGATAATGTAGGTAAGTAAGTAAGTAAGTAAGTAAGTAAGTAAGTAAGTAAGTAAGTAAGTAAGTAAGTAAGTAAGTAAGTAAAAATAGCAATATTCTAACCTAACATACAGAGAAAATACCAGTTACACTGGTACACTTGAAAGGTAAGATGTATAATTTTAGTTTCCCCCCCCAATATTTTAATTCCAAGGAAGAAAACATACTAGAATCATAGAATCACAGCACTGTAGAGCTGGAAGGCATCCCAAGACTCATCAAGTCCAATGCACCAAAGCAGTAAACCTACAACTAAAGCATTATTGACATATAGCCATCTAATATTACTTTAAAACTCTCTAGCAAAGTAGAGTCCACCACTTTTTGTGGTAATCCATTCCACTGTTACTGTTAAAAATTTAAACAGAAATTTGTTTCTTGTGATTTGAATGTGTTATGTTAGACCCGCCATCTGGTCCCATGGAAAACAAGTTTGCTGCATCCTTCAGTAAACACTCCTTCGAATATTTGAAGATGACTATCCATATAACCTCTCAGGCTTCTCTTCTCCAAGTCCACATACTCAGTTCCCTGTTCCTCATAGGGCTTGATCTCCAGACCTTTTACCATCCTAGTTGCCCTTCTCTGGACATGTTCCAACTTGTCACTATTAACCTGTGATGCTTTGAATTGAGAGCAATCAGAGGCCTGAATACAGTGGAAGTATTGCTTTGTTTGCTCTGGACTCTATACTTCCGCTAGTGCAGCCTCGTATTGCAAAAATGTATAGGTGAGGGTGGCACTGCATTACACTGTGCCACACTCCATCTACTAAGATCACAGAACCTTTTCCCATGTACTACTGCAGGCCAGCTATTAACTGTCCTATAAGTATATATCTGATACTTCTTGCCTACTTATAGAAATGTACATCTTTTCCTGATGAAATTCATTTCATTTGTTTTGGCAGAATAGGTAAAGGTAAAGGTAATGGTTCCCCTTGACAATTTTTGTCCAGTCATGTTCGACTCTAGGAGTCGTTTCCAATCCGTTTCCAATCCATAGAGCAAGCGTTTCGTCCGAAGACAATCTTCCGTGGTCACATGGCCAGTGCGACTTAGACACGGAACGCTGTTACCTTCCCACCGAGGTGGTCCCTATTTATCTACTTGCATTTGCATGCTTTCGAACCGCTAGGTTGGCGGGAGCTGGGACAAGCGACAGGAGCTCACTCCGTCGCGTGGATTCGATCTTAGGACTGCCGGTCTTCTGACCCTGCAGCACAGGCTTCTGCGGTTTAGCCCGCAGCACCACCATGTCCCCTTTGGCAGAATACTCCAATTTGTTAAGGTTACTATGAATCTTGAGTCTGTCTTCTGAAGTTTGATATCATTTGAAAATTTGATAAGCATGCCCTCTGCAACCTCGTCCAAGCAATGCATACAGATGGTGAGCAGCACTAGACCTAGGACAGAGCCCTTTCTCACCTTTCACTTCTTTCCAAGGTGATAAGAAACCATTGGTGAGCACTACTTGGGTGGGACCTGTCAACATGCTATAAATCTACCTAATAGCAGCATTGTCTAGCTCACATTTTATCATGTTGCCCACAGGAATATCATAAGGAAACTTGCCAAAAGCCCTGATGGAATCAAGACACACTATATTCATGATATTCCCCTTGTCTACCTTTCTTGTGATTCTACCAAAAAAGAAAGAAGGAAAGGAAAGGAAAGGAAAGATTAGTTTGGTCTGACTTAGAAATTATTGTATTGTTTTTTAAGTGTTCACAGACACTTAATTATCTGTTCTGAAAACCTTCCTGGTATTGATGTCAAGTTGACCACCTGTTGGACTTGATATTAGATAAGGTAGGACTCCTAGAATGATTTTCACAGTATTTTCTATAAAAAGTGTTGATAGCGGAAGAGGATGAATGGATAAAATAAGCAAACAATGTCTCCTCTGGTGTGCACTTCTAATAATGACTCTGTCAGAATTAGGCCCGAGTCATGCACTTGTCCTAGATCTTCCAGAACTGGATTCCTGAAACTGATGGATTGAGCTGAAATAAGGGAAAGTGGGAACCCGAGAGCAGGAGGCAAGAGGTATTGCAGTGTTCATGAAGCAGAGAGCGGTAAGGCATCTGCTATTTATATAACCACAGCCCAACCCGGAGGCTTTTGCTGCTTGCCAAGTGTAGTGGCTGAAGGGGCAGACAGAAAGGACTCTGAGGCCTGAGAACACATAATCCATGGTAGCTCACTGGATTAGGTCCCAGACCAGGGTTCCCTGAAGGATACGCTAGCTAGTGAACTATGAAGCTAGTATCTGTACACAGTTGATGTCAATTTTGGTGTAATTTATCTCAGCTCTCTCTGTATCAGTGATACCAGATGAGAACTAAAGTCACTCAGCAAAAACACTTTTTTTGTGTGGTTATAGACTTGGAGAAATGGAAGAAAAAGAAGGGAGGCTCTTTTGAGAATTTATCTAGTCACCACAGACCATTGGCTTTCTGTTTGGGGAAGCTGTCAAGCCTGGCAGTCACAGAATACTGATGCCTGGATAAACCAATGAAGAAGTAAAAGCAAACAACGCACATACTTTTATGTAAGCATTCTCCCAAAATGTCTAAATATATTACATGAAGGCATATGAGTTGCAGAAGAAGACAGTGTCTCTCTCAGAAGGGCTTCCCAAAATGCCAATAATATTGAAGCCTCCTGGTGCATATCATTGAAATTCAAATACTATCGTACAAGCAATTTTTAAGATTACAAGCAACTGCTAAGATTATAACAGCACTAATTAATCATACAGACATTATTTGCTGCTGGAAGTGAGCCAAAGATCTTTTACGTTATTCTGCATGAGCACTACAGACTGTCATTTAAAAAAAATTCTGCTTTGCATATATAGTGATAGTTAAGCGGATAATATTAATTACGGCCCTAGCAACAATATTTTTTTCACATAAGCTTTTTGCTGAGGCATTTTCTGTAAGTAACTAGTGATTGTGAGGGCAATTAAGGTGCCATTCCATTTCAAGATTATAGCTGCTACTTCTATTCATTGCTATGAGCAAAACTCTACTGGTGTAACTTGGCGAACTGGTGGCAGTGATCTGGAGTCTATGCTTCATGAGTAAAGCCTCCTCCCTCCATGTGCTGAAGCCCCCAAAGGCTTCTCCAGGGTAAAAGGAAGCCCCAGGAAGCCTCAAGACCTAAAAAGGAGGGAAACAGGAAACTTTTAATTGCTTAAAATTACATTGCTCCAGTGCCTAATCCAGGTTACACCAGCACAAAGTTATGTAACAGGATTTTGCCCACTGTGTTTGTCTCACCATATGCCTGTCCCAAAAACTCAGAATGTATTGCAATACATGTGAAATGCATACAAGAACAAAAGAGCTCATACCTGGCTCACAATTCTCTTTGCACAGAGTTTTTATATGGACACAATGGCAGGAAAGCAGATGTTCCAGCTCATCTACATAAAGTGTATTCACAGCATCTTCACCTGACTTTTTCTTCTTTCTTATGCATCCCCTGCATGGTTTAAAATCATCACATCTCTGTAAACTCTGATATCCCACTTCATGGATAAACCAAAGTTGATTATTTTAACTGCCCGAGACCACTCAGTGGCTGAATAGGGATTTTGGCACAGCCCGCCACTACGTACTCAACGTTCTGCTCCACTTATGCCTCTCTCCCAACAGGCTTCCTGCAGCCCTCAGAGGCCTTGTGGGTGGCCTCATTGGTTGCCCAAGCAGATGTTCCAAAGCACCTCTCCTCTCTCACCAGCAAAACTGCCACTGCCATGATTTTCATAGGGGAGACTGCAGAAAGAAGAAACCTTGAAGTACATCATCCTCCCTGTCTGGCAGATTATGAGGACAGA